ACAGTGGGTAGGGCATTTGCCTTGCTTGCGGCAGACCCAGGTTCGACTCCCAGCATCTTGTATGGGCCCCTGAGTACCACCAGGAGTAATTCCTGAGTGCAGAGCCAGGAGTAACCCCTGTGCATCGCCAGATGTAACCCAAAAATAAAAAAAAATTATTTGGGCCTGGAGTGGATAGGGTGTTTGCCTTGCATGCAGCCAACCTGGGTTTGATTCCTAGCATCCCGTATGGTCCCCCAAGCACCACCAGGAGTAATTCCTGAGTGCAGACCCAGGAGTAACCCCTGTGAATTGCTGGGTGTGACCCGAAAAGGGAAAAAAAACCCTTGAGAACAGGCAGGTGTGGCTAAAAAAATAAAATAACAAAATAATAAAATAATTTTGGACAATATTTCTTATTATAGTCCCATTTTACAGATGGAAAGGATGAGGATCAATGATAAGTCATGTGCTGATTCATTGTCTTTCCTACCCTTTGATTTCTGAATCTTTCCAGCAGATTCCCAGTTCAGAGCATGTGTGAGTGCAGAGGGAAGGTCCAGGTCAGGTTCTCCAGGACCATGTCATTGAAGAAACTGAGACTCGAGATTCAAGGAACCGGCATGATCTGAGATTCATGCTCATGCAGAGAAGTTAGGGCTTCAGTACAGGGGTTAAACCTTAACAACCAGGGACACTCGACTCTGGCTTCAGTGATCCAACTTGTGCTTATGACATTTGTTACTCTGTCCCAATCCCTTCACTGGCCCTGTAGCAGCACCCCCACTCGCTTCCCGTGTTCCTTTTAAAAACAGCTCCGGTCCCCTGTCAGCTTGAAATCCTTGACCACCTCCCCATTGTGTTTCTGATTAAATCCCAGCATCCATGCTGTATTTCTTTCACGAATAGAAAAATATGACACATGCAGGTGCTTTTTAAAGCCCCAAACTGCAGCCTGTGAGATGAAGTCGGCTCTGTGTCTAATTCACACAGCCCATGCAGTCACACCGCACTACCTCCAAACCAGCTCCTGCTGCTTTCCCCGCCTGGAACTGCCTACCTCTCCTTCTCTGCAAGACTTAACACCATGTCTCTGGCAGACAAACCTTCCCCCAGCCTAATTTAGCTTCACCTCCCCTGAGGTCCTGCAGAAACCTGTCATAATCTGTCACTCCACTCCGCACACTGCATAGCAATGGTGTGATTTCTTGTCGTTTCTCTGCACGTCAGCGAGCTGCTTACAAGTAGATCTTTCAGGTTTTTTTGCCCCCAATGCTTTGCACAAGACCTGGCACATGGCAGACACTTAATTAAAGCTTGCGATCAGAAGGAGCAGATGAAATGCAAATGACTTGGCCAGAATGACGAAGCTGGGATTTGGATCTGCAGTCCCTCCTTTTGGGTCACTTGCCAAGTACTACCAACCTGTTTTCCATCATTTGATTTGGTCATTGCCTTCGTGACTTACAGTAAAAGTGACAGCATTTTACTTTACTTCAGTTCTTTTATTCTAACTTTAAGTCCAAATTATACTTCATGTTTTTTTTTTGCTTGGTTTGGATTTTTGCTTTGTTCTTTCATTTGGGGACCACAGTCATCAGTACTCAGAGCACTCCTGGCAGTGCTGATGGGATTATGTAGTTCCAGGGATCAAACACGAGCCCCTCACATCCAGAGCATGCACTCCAGCCCATTGGGCTATCTCTCCAGGTTTTTTTCTTTCAATTAAGTGTAAAGGAATATGTGTCTCAGGCTGAGATGTTGCTCCATGGCAGAGCAGTTTCTTTGCATGTGTGAAACACAGGATTTGATCTCAGCACAACAAAAAAGAAAAGCAAAAACTATGTATCCCCGAGCTCAGTCCCCTTCTAGCTGGACAATCACTGTTGCCAGCTTTCTGGAAGTTTCTCAGTTGTGATCTGCTTATGTAAGTCAATAGAGATAGGTTAAGAAACTGAGGTATTTTATACCCAATTTAGCATACACAATGATTAGAGCCTACTTTTTTAAATATACTTTATTTATTATAGTTTGGGAAGTTTTTGTAGTGTTAAATTTTATGATATTGATATGCATACTTACCACCCCCCACCACATCCTCAGTGCCCACTACTCCCCACCACTGTCCCTACGTCTCTTCCAGATGGTGTTCCTTCCCCCCAGCCTCCCCACTCTGTTTGGTAAACGGTTTTATATACCAGTGTCAAGGGTTTGCCATTGTTTAATACTGTACATCTTAACCTCTACCTTCCACAGATGAGTGAGATCATCCTATATTTGTTTTTTTCCCTCTGGTTTACAGAGTCTAACTTTTTGACTTAATGGAGTCTATTTTTTATAAACTAATTTATCTTGAAGTTATTTTATGTTAATTCACTACATAAAAATAGGGATACTTTTTAAATTGCATCATATTTCATTGTATGAATTATCATTTTGCTTTTTTGACACTTTTCTAAGCAACAAACAATTTGAAATTAAATCTCTTTCTTTTTTCTGGCAGGAATTTACCAAGAGATTATTTCCGAGCAATCTCTCTACCTCTGTACCCCCATCTGTGAAACAGGAAATGTATTTTTTGTCCCTGAAGACTCGTGGTGCATAGCTATATATTGATAAGACTGAAAATCTATCCTTCTTGTCTTTGAAATTCCAAAAAAAATGGAAGCTTATTTCTCCCTTTTAACCCAAAGTCCTGTTAGGTCAAAAGGATCTATTTATAAACAGATTTTTTTTTTCATTTTATCTTTTCTAGTTTTCTAACTTAGCAGTTAACACTGATAGAGGCCAGTTTTTTTCTGTAAATTTCCACTATAAATCCTTTTCATTTATTTAGGAATGAAGGTTTTTTGTTGTTGTTGTTCATAGTACCAGACTAAATCTGCTTTGTCTCCGAGTGCAAATGAAAGAAACCTTATTTTCTTTCTGTAGATTTTGGTTTGTGTTTGTTTATTTGTTGGTTTTTGAGCTGTTTCCAGCTGTGCTCAGGGCTTGCTCAGGACTTACTCCTGGCAGGGATCCAGGAACCATCTGGGGTGCCAGGGATTGAACCCCAGTCAGTCGCACGCAAGACAAATGCCATACCCACTGTACTACCTCTCCAGCTGCAATCTGCTGCAGTTTTTTTTTTAATGCCTTAATATCTTACTACTATAAAAGCTAAACTACTAGGCCCAGGAGATAGTACAGCAGTTAGAGCACATGTCTAGCATGTGACCAAACCAAGTTTGATCTCAACACCACACCCCACTTTTATGGGTGCCGTTCTAGAGGCCCCACACACAACTGGGGTGTGATGACTCATTATCCACAGCACCCCAGGGCTCATAGCATCGAATCTGTAGGCCTTACATTGACCCACCAACCTGGTTGACCAAGAGGTGCAGGTGAGGTCCTTGGGCCTCTGACACTGCTTGGAAAAACCCCAGCCCACCTCTGGCCAAAAAAAAAAAAATCCTAAACCCTAAACCACCAAGTGAGGAACACATGAAGGGTAAAAAGCCATCAAATGAGAAAATGCAATGTGAAAGAAGTCACAGGGCAAATGTCTCTTTCCAAAGCAACATGGGATTTGATAATAAGGTGGAAAATGGGTGAAGAACTTTAGTCCTAGGGGGAATTTCTGAGACACTCCACATCAGACCTTTGAGGCTGACATGAAGCTGTGGTAAGCAGAGATCCTGGCAACAAGGGCTAGAGCGGCCTCCTCATATGCAGGGGCCTTTCCCACGGGAGCAGATGCTTATCAGAATTCCCCTGAAAACCTTGTACATGCCCCTGCTCCAGGAAGCCTGATTCAAACATGTGGGGTTAGGGCCTGGAATTCTTATCATATTTCACTGTATAATTGTTGTAGATTTGAGGGTGGTATGGGGCCATACCAGCAGTGCTCAGCACTATTTTTGGTTCTGTGCTCAAGGATCACTCCTGGCGGTGCTTAGAGAACCATACATGGTGCCATATATTTGAACCAAGATTGGCCACGTGCAAGACAAGCACCTTACCCTCTGTACTATCTTTCTAGTCCTAATCATCATAGACTTTAGGCTGTTTTTTCCTTTTCTTTTTTTTTTAAGGAGCGTGACCATCATGTAAAAAGTTTTGTAAATTGTGCCAGTATTACTAGTAGCAAAAAGTCACAGGCATGATGATTATGCAGTGGCAGTGGTGATATGGTGTACAATCCTGAAGTCCAACACGCAGCCAGGGTTGAAAGATTTCTGGGAGGTGGAATTGCAAGCATTCTGTCTCAGAGATATAAAGGAAACAGGGTTAAGTGTGATTAGTGACCCACTAACCCTAAAGAAAGAGAAAGGCCAAGCTGACCCTTTTACTCCCTTCCTTTAAACATCCATGGGGGGGGGGGTGCTGGAGCCATAGTACAGTGGGTAGAGCATTGGCCTTGCACGTGGCCAACCCAAGTTCAATTCCCAGCATCCCATATGGTCCCCTGAGCACCGGCAGGAGTAATTCCTGAGTGCAAAGCCAGGAGTACCCCCTGTGCATTGCCAGGTGTGACCCAAAAAGAAAAAAAAAATCCATGGATCCTTCCATTTGTGAAATAAAGAAAACCAAGTTCTTGACCTTCCCTCAAGGTTTTGGAATTGGACTGCTCCCACACTTTCTACTTTTCTCACTCTCTGCTCTGGTCACTCCAGGTCTTCTGCCCTCAAATCCCCCAAGTTACATTGTATCCTTTCAGCAGTTGACCATGACCTATGACTGTCTCCCCACCCCTGGGGTAATTCCCCCAAACACCAGGAAATGGAGAGAAGGGGAAGCTCCCAGAGAGGAGACTAGGGAAGAACCCAACAGTCCCCACCTCTGCAGCTTAGTCTGATGGTTCTTTAAGGTCGTTCACTGCAGTGACACTCTGTAGACATAGCCAATAAAAATCAGTTGACAAAGAAGGAGCAGAAACAACCAAGATAACTGCATTCACTTCAACGAAAGGGCACAGAGCACAGGGCCTCTACCATTATTTTGTCTTACATAATTTTTGTTGTGCCTTGCCCTAACAGGACAGTGGAGATGAACTGGACTATCATGAAGAACAAGGAGGATCCTTCCAGGAGTGTTATCAAGACACCAAAGGTAGAGACAGCTGGGTAGGGCATGGTAATCTTATCACTGTAATTGTCGGATGCAGTTACGAAGTGTTTGTGGGGAATGACCCTTCCTTCACTTCCCAAGTCCTTGTGTGGAAATCAGCACACACACCAACGTGCTAGTTCACACTCCCATGTGTTCTGAGAGCATCAACAAGCCAACTGATAAAAATACACTTTTATGTTCTTGAACTTAATGAAAGATTACTTTCCTGCCAGAGGCGACAAATGGACAGAGGCCTGTAGAACTAGGGGCTTAGCAAAAAGATCCTCCGCACCTTCGCGTCTTTGTTACTCCCGTCATAGGGTATGTGGTGAGAGTGTTGCAGTTCCCTGCCTAGAGGAAGAGTCTCCAACCCTGAACATCAGACTCATCACCTACAGTGCCCAAGGACCAGACCTGCCCGCGTGCAATTTACTCCAAAAATGCTGGTGCATTTGTTCTAGGAACTAGTGGACCCAGAGCAAAGCTTTTTGTCATTATATTCATTTTCCTAAGCTTCAACACTAAGCTCTTCCCTTAAGGGCATCCGGGTGTGCTGTATGATGTTGCAGCTAGCTAAGCTCTAGGAGCAGAGCTCATCTTTATCCTCATTGCAGCTTGCAGAAGTGGAAACAGATGGCTGCAAGACTTGCATTCTCAAAAAGCAGAAAAGGGGACCCACCGGAAGTCTACCTGTTACTGTTCAAATGCATTCACCGGAAGGAGCAAGAGCAGAAAACCCACCTAATTTTCTGCTCCCTAAATGTGTGCATGCATGCATGCATGCGTGCGTGTGCATGTGTGTGTGTGTGTGTGTGTGTGTGTGTGTGTGTGTGTGTGTGTGCGTGTGTGTGCATCAAGCCCCTCTGGGTCCCTTTTCCTCGTGAGCCCTCCGGTGAGGTTCCCTCCCTCCTTAGCAGCAGATGACATGAGCAGCCATGGGAAGAGCATGGGTTGACAATCTCTGCCTAAGACTCTCAGTGCCTCAGTGTCCCTCTCTGTGTCAGCTGAAGCTGAAACCTGCACCTTTCTTCTGAGGTGAAATGAAGAATGAAGAAAAGAATTCTGAACAGTAGACCTTTAATGAATATTCATTTCACATTGATTATCACAGTGATCAGTACAGGTCTACCTTCTCATGGCTACTGCCCACCTATCTTTTGCATATATCGTCCCATGTCTCTTCTCTGGACCCACATGGGGTGAGGGAGATCATAGGAGTTCACTAAAGATAAATGTGAAAACTCATGAACTTGGGAGCTTAGGTTTTTTTGCTTTTCAGGTCACACCTGGCGATGCTCAGGGGCTACTCCTGGCTTTGCACTCAGGAATCACTCCTGGCAGTGCTCAAGGGAACATATGGAATGCTGGGAATTGAACCCGGGTCGGCCGCATGCAAGGCAAACGCCCTACCCACTGTGCTATCACTCCAGCCTCCAGGGAGCTTAGATTTTGACCCCATATTGATTTCTGTTAACATCATTAACTTTTTCTTTAAGATAGCACTTGGGTTTTAAATAAATAAATATATATATATATATATATATGTACACACACACACACACACATATGCACATGCATACCCCTCACCCCATTGGGGATGCAGAGAAGAGACATGGGGCCATATTTGCAAAAGATAGGTGGGTAGTAGCTATGAGAAGGTAGAACTGTATTCATCACTGTGATAACCAATGTCAGGTGAATATTCATTAAAGGTCCACTGTCCAAATTTATGTATATATACATATTTATATATGTCATATAACATATATATGTCATACAGCAGTGTTCAGGGGCTATTCCTGTCTCAGTGCATGGGGGGGTCACTTTCAGCAGTGCTCAGGGGACCATGCAGTGCTACAGATCAAACTTGAACCTCCCAGGGGCTGGAATGATAGTACAGAGAGTAATGCACTTGCTTTGCACATGTCCACCCAGTTTTAATCCCTGGTACCCCATGTGGTTCCCAAGCCTGCTGGGAGTGACCTTTGAGCACAGCTCCAGGAATAAACCCTGAGCACAACTAGGTATGGGGGAAAAAAACAAAATAACAATAATAATATTTATATTCCTCTGAAAAGCTTCCTTCACTCAGGGCTGCAGATAAGGTTCAGAGACAGCATGTGGCTCATGGGAGTGATTCCCTGGGTTCTATTCCCAGTGCCACAAAGAGTGAAAAGAAATAAATAGAAGCTTTTGCTGCTTCCAGACAGAAAACAATAAAACACCATGGTAGTCTGGTCCCTATGGCAAAAAATTTAAGCAGGGAATCTATTCCTATCAGTCTCCTACCACTTTGATTTTCAAAGCTGGTTGACAACAGCCAGCGCCCCTCACTCTGGTCGGCAAACCTTCCATCTGATAAATCACATAACCAGGACATGAACACTAACAAGGCTCCCAGGGCATGGACAAGTGCAGTGGAGATTTTAGGCAGTACAGAACATGGTCAAATCTAACCAATGACCAAGTCAGTCAAAACACGTTTTCTCTCTCATGACAGAGGAACAAGTCTCATAAAGGTTACTCAAACAGCCTTTAATGCATTGAAATACCACTGCAGAAAATTAAAGAGCCATCTTCCTTCCTGAAGGATAAATATTAATGTTTTAAAGGGATTTCAAAATCATTGAAAGGCCAAGAAAATGTTTTAACTCCTTAAAGGATCAATTTTCCCCTTGGGGATCTCAACACAATTTGTCAGGAGTCTTTTCTTTCTGTAAGTTAAATGGGGATCTTCCTCAGCATTGAGTGGGGTTATGTCCCAGTAAATCCAGTAAGTAGAAAATATCATAATAGGAAACTCCTTTAATTGCTTAAGCTACCAAGCACTGTCACTGAGCCCAGTCTCCCCTCAATGTGCATTTGGCCTACATTTGGTTAAAATAATCTAACACAGAACCTAGTTCATAACAGTGTTCACTATCTTGTGAACGCATCAACTATTTTACCAGAAGTGGAAAGGTCTGTAAAGTTGTTCACTCTTGAGGTCTCATTATGGTTCAGCATCCTCAGTCAATATTTTATCATCACTAAAACACAAATACAGAATTAACAACAAAAACATGGAACCAAAAACATGGAATCAACACCAAAAACGCTGCCAAACAAACAAAGTCACAGGGGAAAAAATGCAAAGATCTTTCTATAGAGAGCATATTACTTATACCTTACCACCGAGTCCTCAAGTCTTAACCTAAACCTCAGTCCAGAGCACCTGAGAGGATGTTCCTAGTTATGATAAGCAGTGCACCAGGCCCCATCTGTGAGAGAAACAACACTGCATGCAAGATTTCCTTATTCAGGACAACTCAGCAATCTCCAAGTCCAAAAGGGTTGGGGAATGATAGTGAGTAGGACACTTGCTACTGCACCCGGCTGACCTAAGTTTGATCCTCAGCACCATGTATGATTCCTGAGCACTGCCAGGAGTGATCCCAGGGTGCAGAGCCCGGAGCACCACTGGATGTGGCCCAACCCACACCCTACTACACACAAAAAAAAAGTTTAAAAAATTAATTGCTATTACTTAAATACAAAATGTTCCTTTCTGTCCTGCTCACCTCCCCACAAAATCCAAGATCTTTTATAACTCTGTATTGGGACAGATGTTAACTAGACTTATTGTAGTGATCATTTTATAATAATGCAAGTATAGACCTATTACATTATACCTAAAACTAATATTATGATATATATATTATAGAATCATAAGAAGGCCATCCTGAGGTACAGGAAATGGCTAAAGGGCTAGAAAACATGTTTGCATGCAGGAGACCCGGGTTCAATCCCTGGTGGTCTTGGTTCCTGTGAAAGCCTGAAAACAAAGTCAACTCTGGAGCCAGTAAGGAAAATTGAGACAGATTAGCAAACATACGAGTCTTCAAGGCCAGAACAATAACTCAGCAGGTAAGAAGCTTGCCTTGCATGCAGCTGACCTGTATTCTGTTCCCAGCACCACATATGATCTCCCAAACCCCACCAGGAGTGATCCCTGAACTCAGAGATAGTAGAGTAATCCCTGAGAGCTGCAGGGCAAAGAAAAAAAAAGTTGTTAAATACCCATTATTAACATTATTGATGAAGACATAGTAGATATTCAGAGAAATTTGAAATTATCCAATAAATTAAAGATGAACATACCCTGAAACCCAACAATTAATTCCATTCTCAGGTCACATTAACTCAGGCTTCTTGGAAGCCGGGAATATACAAAGGGCTGGAACAGATGCTTTGTGTTCAGGACTCCATGTCAGATTTCAGTCCCACATGGTCTCCCCCAAGGACCCTGAAGACCTGCAAACAACCCCCAAGCACTGCACTAGGAGTCGTCCCCAAGCAGAACCAGCTGTGCTCCCACCAGAGAAAAATCCTTAAGTACTTCACACAAAACCATTCATTAAAGAAGAAAGAAAGCAAGAAAGCAAGCAAGAAAGCAAGAAAGCAAGAAAGCAAGAAAGCAAGAAAGCAAGAAAGAAAGAAAGAAAGAAAGAAAGAAAGAAAGAAAGAAGAAAGTGAGAGAGAGAAGGAAGGAAGGAAGGAAGGAAGGAAGGAAGGAAGGAAGGAAGGAAGGAAGGAGAGAAAGAAGGAAAAAAAGAAGAGGGACTAGAGTGACAGTACAGTGGTTTGGGAGCTTATCTTGCACGTGGCTGATGTGGGTTCGATTCCCAGCACCCCAGATGTCTCCTGAGCACTGCCAGGAGTAATTTCTGAGCATAAAGCCAGATGTAATCCATAAACAAGAAAGAAAAAAAGAAAGAAATGGAAGGAAGGAATGAAGGGAGGGAGGGAGGGGGAGGGAGGGAGGGAGGGAAATAAAAGACAGACATCAACAGCAAATAAATAAATTGTGATATGTCTACATAATGGACTAATGTGTAGTCACTTAAATGGAAAGTACATATTATCATAGATTGATCTCAAAGACACAGTGTAAGCAAAGCAAATCACAAAAGATACATGAACAGTACTACTGACACATAGATTTAATCTGTTAAACAACA